AGTGAAGACACATGAAAACACACTTAGAATTTGCAAAAAAGCAACTAAAGGACCCTCAGACTGTGAGAAATAATATTCTCTGGTCTGATGAACCTCAATTCCAAGCATCATTTTTGAAGGAAACCAAATCTGCTCATCACCTGCAGAGTGCCATCCCAAAAGTAAAGTGTGCTGGTAGCAGCCTCATGCTGTGGGGCTGTTTTTCAGCAGCAGGGACTGAGGGACTCATTAGAGTAGAAGAAAAGCTCAATGCACCAAAATATTGAGATAGCCTTAATAAAAATCGAGTCAAGCGCATTCAGAACCTCAGACTGAGCAGAAGGTTCACCTTCCAACAAGACAATGACCGTAAGCACACATCAAGAGTGGCTTATAGACAACTCTGTGAATGTCCTTGAGTGGCCCAGCCACAGCTTGAGCTTGAACCAAATCAAATATTTCTGGAGAAACCTGAAAATGTGCGTCTGCCCCCATCCAACCTGACAGAGCTTGAAAGGTGAAGAGGTGAGGTGAAGAATGGCAGATAATTGCCAAATGATGATGAGAAAAGCTTGTGGCATCAAACAAAAAAAGACTTGAGGTTGTAAAGGTGCTTCAGCTAAATATTTATTTAATTTATTGAATACTTATGCAATGTACTCATTACCGCGGTAAGTAGGGGTGCTGAAGCACCTCCTGGAGTGTAGCCCACGAAAAAATGGGGATGCTGGGGGTGCGGTGTTAAAAATAAATGAAGCAACAATTAAATATGAGTTAAATTGAATCAAATTGACTGTGAAAGTCGTTTCAACTGATTAAACTTATTAAACTGACTTAAAAAATCATTTGTTGCCATGATTTTTGGATTATATTATAGCCTGTAACATGTCTCTGCCGTATAAGTAGGGGTGCTGAGGGTGCTGCAGCACCTCCTGGAGTGTAGCCCACGAAAAAATGGGGATGCTGGGGGTGCGGTGTTAAAAATAAATGAAGCAACAATTAAATATGAGTTAAATTGAATCAAATTGACTGTGAAAGTCGTTTCAACTGATTAAACTTATTAAACTGACTTAAAAAATCATTTGTTGCCATGATTTTTGGATTATATTATAGCCTGTAACATGTCTCTGCCGTACCCAAATTAAGAATTAACAACAATTTCTACAGACAGAAGAGAAAGAGCAAGAGTGTCTACCTCAGCAGCAACAAATCTTGCATTCTCACATCTGTAGCGCTTGTTTTGATCTTTAATGTTAGGTCTTTCCTATTCTTGAAACAAAATTAATTATTAAGGTTGATTTAATATTACTCTTAATGAAAAACACACACACAACATCAACAATGCTACAATGACAAAGTCGCTTATATTAAACATAAAACTTTTATGAACAGATAAGAACAAATAAGATCAGTGGCGTAGCGTCTGGTTATGCAGGGTATGCAGGCGCATATGGTCCCGGGCAGTTTGTGGGCAACGAGGGAACGAATAGAGCCCTGCACGGCCCTTGTCCAACAGCTTTATGATAATTCTCGGCCCGAGTCCGACTGGATCCCATGTCTTTTTTCTCTCTCTCTCTTCCCCATTACACAGCTATTAAAATAGTTCCGTTTTGGTTTTTAATGGCAAAGTGGTCAATTTCTTTTTGTTTCTTTATTAAGTTAATTTAGAAATATGTTTGAAGCATTTTATGTTTGTTAAATTCAGGTTTTAGTTTTTTTAAGGAATGGCCAAGCTGCCAGAGATAGACAGTGAGTTGAGCATATGTTTGATCAATTTAGCCTTCTAAAACCAACACGACTTGTCTAAAATAAACAGACATAAAACACTTTTCACTTTGCATTTCACAGTATTAATTTAAACATTTAACCAAGATAAATGAGCGCTGTTAGGCACATATCCAATCGTTTGTGTGGAGAGTGGAAGCTAAAGCGCACTCTGCAGGACATGGAGGCACCAGCGCGATCACTTGCATTTTATTTTTAATAACAGCGGAAACGTAAAAATACGCTGTCATTTTTGCTCATAAAGGTAAAAGTATACATCATTCGGAACTGCAAAGGGTCTACTTGTATTTGTGTGCACTCACAATATCAACAAAACCTTGTGCTTTTGTAAAATAAGGAAAACAAACAGGATGCGCTTTCTGTCGTCTTGGTCTTGAGCAGGAGCCCTTCACCGACATGATAAATATATCTATAAAATGCTTTAAATGACTATTTTAAAACAAAATAATTCAAATCGAAAACAAAAACTCTTTCATTATGTAATCCGTAAAGATGCATTTCTCCCTAAAGGCATGTCCAATGAGGATGGCTAGTCAGGTTCGTCAAATTAATTTTTGCAACATTGACTCAGAACACATTAGTTTATTAACAAATAATTCAAATAACTCCTCACTATTTTTTTTTACTTTTTTTGTTTGTTTTTTGTTTTTAATTTTTTGTTTTGTTTATTTGTTTTTTGGGCTGATGCGCCAAAATTGTGTTTGCATTCAGTAGCCTATATGGCAGCATTTTTGTGCCACGTTTAAAAATAACTAAATAAATAAGATTAACGTCATAATATTTACGTTAATAATAATACAACTTTAAACAACATTTCCAAGCATTAGCCTATAGCCTACCCTAAATAAAACAGCTTGTGAATAGTCACGATTCACGTAACTTTATTTACTTCCGAAAGGTCAACAATAGGGCCTAAGTTAAGTTAACCGAGTTGGAGCCCATAACGTTTTGGGGGGCCGTACAAATTTTTTGCATATGGGCCCGGGGCTGACTCGCTAAGCCACTGAATAAGACTGATCTCATGAAAATGCGTATAAATAGTACGGCAAATAAAAATGAAAACTTGTGGTATTTATACGCAAAAATGGACTTTGCTGTGCATATGATACGCTTGTGTTTGGCGTGCATATGATACGCAGTTTTTGCGTATGATACGCATCTACTTCACAACCCTAAATCTACCCATCGCGTAGCATATACACGCCAAAGTCCATTTTTGCATATCAATACCACGAGTTTTCGTTTTTATTTGGCGTACTATTTATACGCACTTTCATGAGATCGGGTTGGACTGATGTACCTGTGTTGTAACACAAATAAATGTAAAGTTTTTGGATTTTCCCCTTAAATGCATGCTTATGGCTCATTATTATTAATCGAAAAAAGAAAAAGAAAAAGAAAAAAAAACATTAAACTTTGAACTTTTATTAACAAAATAAATAAGGATATGTTTTACTCGCGTTTAACACAAATAAATAGCCTATGGATTTCCCCTTAGGCTACCTTAAAACGATCATAGTTTGATCGTAGGTTTATTATCTTATTAATTAAAACACATCAGCCATAAAATAGTACAATGGCAAATTCGCATATATTAAACATCTACCTTGCATTGACAAAATGAATAAGATGGATATAGCCGTTGTAACCCAAATAAATAAGGTATTTTCCCTTATTTAAAACGAATGCTTAGTTTGTGGTTCATTGTTATTTTTTTATGAAAACCGAGCAACAAACACTCTCACTTATATGCTATTAAACGAATAAATGAAAGTTTTATTAACAAAAGTTGCGCTTTGGATCCGCCATCATATAGTATCAGTCTTCTCGCATCACTCTTGTCACGTGACCCCCCGTTTTATTTCCCAGCCTCCCCAGCTCAAAATACGTTCCTGCAACAGCATCCATGTCATATAAAGGCCTTAAAACACTTGAACCCTGGTAGCTATATTTATTATTATTATTATTATCATCTCACCTGTTTTCTTGTACAGCAGGGGGGAAAGGGTGTGCCTGATCACTCAGTAAAGTAACAGCACACTCTCCTCAAAAACACACATGATCTGAGAAATCATGTCTGGAGCACAAACGCTGCAGGATGATGCACATACTTAGTTGTACATAGTTGTTTAGTAATTACTAATGCTTATGGGTGTCAAGTCAAAACAGAGGGAGGGCCATTGTCATTGACAGCATTTGATTGGATGAAAATGTGTATACACCTGAGTGCAAGTTGAGTCATATATTGTTTATTTCCAGACAATGTTTCTTTTCAGATGAGGAAGACTGCAGATCAGCAAAAAAGATTATTTCATCAACTTTTTAGTAGTTAACTTGCATCCACTGTAAAGTACGTTAAACTAAAAGCCACTTGATTCTTTAACAAATTTAATAAACCAACTGAACCCACTTTTTTTTTTTTTTGACACTTTGCATATAGAGTAAATGGACAGGAATTTATGGTGATTTGGAAATGTCACAAGCTGGATTTAGACCTGCAATACCTGCCTACATTAGCACCACAGCTCTGAGAGTGTATAAATGTATACATGCTGTATGTATGCGGGAATAATGAATGTTGACACATCCAGAGACGGTTAGCACAGCTTCTGAGCTGAAGAACAAAGAACAGCAGGAGAAACCCAGCAGACCCGCAGTCCTCAAAGAGCAGACATGTCTCTACGCTTCCCTTCACATCTCCTCCACACACAGACACACATCCTTCACTCAATACAAGCCAGTCTGATCAAGCTCTTAGCGATTCCTCACTGCTGTTATAAACACAAGACACATGCACCAATGTGACAGAATTACTATAGCAGAGCTGTAAGAACTGGACGCAAAATGCTTCTTCCCAGCGGAGTGAGGTTGCAGGTTCAGCACGACGTACATCTCCCGATGCGAGTGAACTCATACGTGAATGGATCTCCGTGCATTCCCTAAAGCACGCATCTGTCAGTGACGTCTGACTGACTGTCTCTATAATTAGGGAAACATTTTAGATTAAATCCTGGGTGTAGGGGGAGAAAAGACTAAACCACAGAGCCGCCGGTAATTCAAACTAATCTGAAATGTTTTTGCTTTTTTCACAGAGAAACCGAAACCACATGAAAGTTAGTGAAATGGGTGGTGATCTTACCTTTGGAGCTGCTCGGCTGACGCGCAGAGACACTTTGAAACTCCAGTCAAGCGCACTGCTGCTCAGCGCGTTAAAGTTTTGCTTGACCTGTCAGTGTGTGTGTGTGTGTGTGTGTGTGTGTGTGTGATGCTGGAGGGGGGAAAGTTGCTGCCTCCTTCAGTCCCACCCTAAACACACGCACAGCTGTGAACAATCATCAAGGTCACAACCAAAACTCCCCATCTATATATCTATAGTCTTTCTTGCGGTACAGAACATCGGCATGTCTCCGTCATTATAGCCCATAACTTTTTCACTCATCATCCAATCTGCAGGCTATTCATAACTATTCAGAGAGAGAGAGAGCAGCTTAGATAAACATCTATTTATTATAAAAGCAGATTATGAATTATTGTGATGCTGGAGGGGGGAAAGTTGCTGCCTCCTTCAGTCCCACCCTAAACACACGCACAGCTGTGAACAATCATCAAGGTCACAACCAAAACTCCCCATCTATATATCTATAGTCTTTCTTGCGGTACAGAACATCGGCATGTCTCCGTCATTATAGCCCATAACTTTTTCACTCATCATCCAATCTGCAGGCTATTCAGAACTATTCAGAGAGAGAGAGAGAGAGAGAGAGCAGCTTAGATAAACATCTATTTATTATAAAAGCAGATTATGAATTATTGGATTGTTTTCAGTTGTATGATAGTCAAGCATAGTTTGCAGATAGTCTATCATACAAATGAAAGAGTAGAATCATACCTGTTGCAAATTCTCTAAGGATAAAACAGCATTTCTTTCATTCTAAACTTCAAATTTATTGTCTCCTCGCTACTATAATAACCCTCCAAACTGGCCAGTGAGTTCATAACGTTACCTGCAGTTGATTTTCATTCATTCTAAACCTGGAGTTTCTTTCTTCTGGAAAGTGCTTTCTCCATCTCATAAACTCTAATCTGATTGGCTGGCTTTATTCAACATCCTGGAGTAAGGGCACACCTGTGTTTTATATTATCTGGAAATAAAGTCGTGTTTACAATAACATCCTCTCTTTCCCCAATTTGCATCGGGAAGCCAGGCATGTTTAATATTTCTGTTATTGTTAAATGTGCTATTGTTAAATCACATAGCAAGAACTGATCGAAAGACAAGGCAATGTTGTTGTTGTTGTTTATTTATTTAGATATAACTTACTTTCCTAAAGCTGCCATGTTGGGTACTTCAGTTTCTCACATTCATTGCAATGCCAGTGGTCCAGCTCATCTCTATATAGGCTATATAGTAGTAAAGTAGGGTCGTTAGACGATACCCTCGTCCATTGCTGATGGTTGATAGACTTCACGATGTTGAGCCGGCATTGAGACGGAACCGAACATGGAAAGTGAAGTATACCAGGGCCTTTAGTGGTCAGCTGCTGCAGAGCGTACCAAAATCAAAATTGCTGATGAGATGAAGATGAAAATATCTAGTGGAAAATGAGAATAAATTTTTTTTTTAATGATATAATTGTAACTGTAATTGTAACATAAATGATATAAAGATTTTAGCAGATGGCCATCTAGCATATATATATATATATATATATATATATATATATATATATACACACTGAACAAAATTATAAACACTTTTGTTTTTGCCCCCATTTGTCATGAGCTGATGAGCTGGATCTAAGACTTTTTCTATGTACACAAAAGGTGGATTTGAAAGATCCCTTTTTTGGGTTTTGGTCAGTGTTCATTCTATGCCAGCTAAATTTATGACTGCAGGATTTACAGTGAGGTTTGTAAATAACACAGTGAGAGTTTGGCTCTGGTAAATAACAGCTTCAACTAAATTCAGCCTGAGTGAAGCTGATTACTGCTGTGACCATAAGGAGCAGATAAAAGGCTGATGCAAATGAACTACCATGTACGAATGTTTAAAAAAAAAAAAAAAAAAAAAAAGTGACTCACTATATGGTCTCTAATTAATGCAATGACAGTACTATCTTGTCTAATCTGTATTTAGACAAATTTAGAGCCAGAGTTTGAAAAGAACACTAAATGTATTTTTATATTGTGAATAAACGCACGCACGCACACACACACACACACACACACACGGAGCGCGGAGTACATCAACAAGGAGAACTTAACTTAGCTTAGCTTAGGAGGTTGACATTCACATACAGACATTCAATACCGAACAAAGAAACCATGAAAAAACACAGGGCTAAAGTATTCTGAACTAAATGGGGAACACCTAGAAATAATGTCATAATAAACATAGGAAACACCTGGGACAAATTAACCTAATCAGAGAACAGGAACAGGAACAGGAAGACCAAATAAGGGCATAAACATTACATGGAGCACGTGGGGAACAAAACACAACACAAGACAGACATTGTCAGAAACAGAGTCTGACAATAATATATATATATATATATATATATATATATATATATATATATATATATATATATATATATATATATATATATATTCACTTTTCTGCCAGTGAAAGAAGTCAGTCATTGTTCAAAGTAGATACAAACAGGCAATAATAAGCAGTGTTGTAGCCAGCCCAAAGATAAAGAGACCAAACTACTACCACCTCAAAGCCACATTGTGCTCATAAATGACAGTATGCAACTTTTGACCTCAACACTAACTCAGAAAGCTTTGAAAAGGGAAACAGAAAGGTTTGGTTACAGTTCTTCGGCATGGCTTCAATTAGTGGGACTCCTAGATCCACGTTTTAAAATGTCTAAGTTCGAACCAGAGAACTGCACAGTATGATACACTAAACATCAGTAATGGAATAGTCAACACTCTGTGACAGGCCAAGGTCCTACTCCGGTCTGCTTGAGACTCATTCCTGCCAGCACTGTGTTGATCCCATACTTACTCATTCGTAAGCTAAGCATTAGAAGACTGAAAGAATACAGACTAGAGAAGCCATTTACTGAAAGAAATCATTGGCAGCATTTGTGAAGGCCACCAAGCCATTATAAATGCCACACCAGACCTCAGCGTCTAGTTTGGTGGCCAGACTTGCAATCCCAAGACTGTACACATCTCAGTAACCCAAAGTGCCCCACTTAATGAAGTTGTTTTGCTTACTTCAGAGTCAGCATGTCCAAGGCAACTGGACGGCATGAGAGAGGTAAAATAATTAAGGTGGCGTATCTCAGAGTCTCAATGACGGCAGTAAAAGAAGCTTTTGTCGGTCACAGCATTCCAGAGAGGTCTGTCACAAACTGCAGCCCTGGCAGACCTTTAAACATTTAGCAAAAAACTTGTCTGCACTATTGTTAGGATATAATGAGCAAATCAGGCACTCTGTTTATCATTTCTTGGCTGTTAAAAAATGAATATAATTGACATGATTTATGTTTTAAATCTACACCAGAAGATTGAGAAGGATTCTGCTCTTCATGCATATAGGGGAAGTTTATCGTCTACAAGATGAGGGAAGATTGAGGTTTGCAACTCTATACTACTAACTAAGCAAACCTTTAGCATAAAATGATTAATACTGAGACCGATAAATGTCAGTACCCACTAGATCTCTCAGAAGGAATTACTATCAATAAGATGTAATAACACTCGAGTCATTACTATCCAAAACCTAACAAAACCTCAAAATGACTTATACATTATGCATTATTTGCAGGGCTTGACATTGAGTTTTTTGCTCACCAGCCACTGTGGCTAGTGGTTTTCCAAAATTACTGCACACTGAAATGTACCTACATTGATTTCCTGGTCATTTCTTGTCTATATAAAGGATCGTTTTTTTACCCCTACTCTTATTAAATGTACAAGTATGCATCATCTTTCATATCAAATTCTTACATTTTATTAATAATTTCAGTTAATATAATAATACACTATAGCAGGGATCACCGAACTCTGCCCTGGAGGGCCAGTGTCCTGCAGAGTTCAGCTCCAACCCTAATCAAACACACCTGAACCAAAGTAATCAAGGCCTTACTAGGCACACTTGAAACTTCCAGGCAGGTGTGTTGAGGCAAGTTTGAGCTAAACTCTACAGGACACCGGCCCTCCAGGACCGCGTTTGGTGACCCCTGCACTATAGGGTTGTTACCAATCAAATGAAATAATTTTCAACAAAACTGATCTTTCTACAGCAGAAGAAACAGAAGCAGTTGAAGTCAATGGCATTTAGATGCATTTACACAGACAGTTAATGATGCTGAGATGTAGCATGAACACATTTACACTGTAAAATTATAACTGCATAAATAATGTTATGTGTTTTAAATCAGTTTTTTTATTTTTTTATATACAAATAAGAAATGTTGGGGGAAATGCAATGATAGGATACTTTTAAATATGAAAATAAACCAGTAGGTGGCAGCAAGTGTGTTAATGAGTGAGTCACTGAGTCATTCATTCAAAGGATTCGTTCAAACTGCTGATTCATTCAAGAATGAAGCAAGTGCCTGTCTTTATGAGTGGCAAATATAAAAAGAACCTTTTTACTGCAGTATGTTTCTTCTGTGGGCAGTTGTGTTTATTTGTTTTGATTTCTCCACCGGTCTCTCTTTCAAACACTAACAGACTGCGCGAGCCACAACTGGCGTGACCTTGTTACCGTCAATGCATTATCCAATCGCCACTTACACCAAATGTAATAAAATCTGAATAATTCTTGCCGAAATCAGATTAGTTTCCCCTTCAAAAAATCCACTTGTCCAGGACAAGCATTAATGTTACTGATACTGTATATAATATTCAATTAATGTCAAACCCTGATTATTTGCATTAATTATGAACCTGTGTACAGCAGTTCCTAGTAGCCATCTGGGAACTATGAAAAAAAAGTAGTTATTAAATAGTAAATGGTGAACCTGCTATGACTGTGTTATTACTAATTCCTTAAGTTTCTTGTGGAGTGTATGTAGGGATATAAGGTAAAGTCCATGATATTTCTGGATATTTTTCATCATCCCTCAGTTGTCAGTAATCATCTTAAAGTTCAGTAATACATAGTAGTACCACATTACTGTAATACAGGATATCAGGCCGTTGGTAATCCAAAATATC